CCTTCTGTGAGTGTGTTTGAGCTGAGCGCTGGGGGTGGAGAGGAGAGTGAGCATGGTAGCAGGCATACAAGCAGGGTTTTGGCATGAGAGAGGGTCTGTTCAAAGGCCCACAGGCAGGCCTGCAGAGTTGCAGGGAATGGGTAAGTAGCAATTATTGGTCAGAGCCTGGAAACAGAAACCTGTGGTTGGACCCAGCATGCTGCCAGGGCAGGGTGGACTTTGGTAGCTTGAGGAGTAATGATGGGATTGAAGGCCCTGGCCAGGCTAGCCCATGAACAAAGGCTGTCTGTTTAACAACTTGCTAGCATTAGTATGTAAAGAGCAGAGTCAGCGGACTAATGAGAATTCAGATGCCCACACCAAGGGACACATTACCAGGAGGGGTTTATTATATTTTTCTTGCATATTTTATTATCTATCATGTTAATGTTTTAGTTTTTATTCAGTAATAGTGACCCTTGTACAGTTCTATGATTTTGATAAATGTAGTCAGTGATGGTATGTAGTAGGACTTTATTTGTTGGACTTCTACTTGGGGACTGCCAACTCCCAAATAATGACATGGAGACTTTAATTCCGAAAGCTTGACCTTTAGCTTAGGCTTGTTCCCAACTAGCTCTTGTAACTTAATTAACTGCCTTTATTAATCTACGTTTTGCCATGTGACTCTATCTTTTCTCCATAGTGTATGTCTGCCTCCCTCTGTGTCTCACTGGTTTCTCTCATCTCTCTTGTTCCCAGAGTTCCTTTCTCTCCCCGGAAGTCCCTCCTATTCTGTCCTGCCTAGCTGTTGGACATTCAGCTCTTTATTAAACCAATCAGGTGCTTTAGGCAGACAAAGTAAAATAGCAATACATCTTTACAGTTTGCTCAAATACTCCACAAGAGTGGTACAGAGAATTCTGTCACTCCCAGAATCCCCTCTGCACTCCTTGGGTACAGTTTCCCACAGCCAGGTTCTAGATCACATCCCTGTACTCTTGCTTTCTTGGAAAGTCATTTTTGATATACTCAGACACAAAGTTTTTTGCATCTTGGTCTATTCTCTTGGAAGGGAGGCTGTGTGAATCCCTTAGCTGTTGTTTTCTGTTTCCTTTTCTGTTGCAGTGGCAGCCTCTTGTGTGATGTATGTAGTATGTTTATTTCCCAGGCTGCATGCATCTGAGTGTTCCTAGTGTGGGGCGGGTTATAGGGGAAACTAGAAACATTGAAGTTCATTCAGACTCTGTGGCTGTGAGTGGTGGTCCTAAGGACAGGGATCTTTGGGTCATGTGTTTGGGGAACTGCTGGACTAACCTGTGCTACTGGTTTGTTTGTTTGAATCAACCTTTATGTTCATAGCAGACAAACTACTACGTAGGGTAAGGTGCAGTAACGGGTGTGCAGTAGCCTTGTTGAGTGTCATTATTTTGTTTTCTCTTTGGACTGTAAGCATCAAGAGAAGAGGGGCTTCATTCCTTAACATCCCCCCAAAGCCTGGCAGATGATCTCAGCAGTTCTAAATAAATACAATGTAGATGGGAAACAGATGGCTTCATTGTGGTGTGCACTCTGCAATGAAAAGTGGTGAAATTACTACTTCACGGTCTCTTAAATTGAGTATGGGTTAAGACCTTCTCCATGTGCAGGTCTCCTGTGAGAACTGTTCATGAAACACTTCTAAGTTCTATTAGCTGCTTTTCTCTTGCTGTGCTAAAACCATAACCAAAGGCCACCTGAGAAGGAAAGGGGTTATTTCAGCTTGCTGTATAGTCCACCATAAAGGGAAATCGGGACAGGAACAGAAGCAGTGATGCTGCTTCCTGGCTTGTTACGTTTGCTTTCTCCCTGGACTATAGCAGGGGTGACACCTCTCACAATGTTCTAGGCTCTTTCACATCAATCACAAATCAAGGAAATGCCTCATAGACTTGCCTACAGTCTGACGGAGGCACTTTTTCAGTTGGGGTCCTCCTGGAATGACTAGTTTGTGTTAAGTTGATAAGAAACTAAGACAATTAGCCCTTGTCAGCTTGACACACAAACATGTAACTATTAGACCATTACCTTTCCATTTCTCTTTGTCCCCACAATGTCGTGTCACTATTAATATTGCAATATGAAACAATATAATTTTAAAAATTCTAGCCGGGCGGTGGTGGCGCACGCCTTTAGTCCCAGCACTCGGGAGGCAGAGCCAGGCGGATCTCTGTGAGTTTGAGGCCAGCCTGGGCTACCAAGTGAGCTCCAGGAAAGGTGCAAAGCTACACAGAGAAACCCTGTCTCAAAAAACCAAAAAAAAAAAAAAAATTCTACAGTCTTTAAAAAAATGTCTAACACTTTTAAGCATTCCGTGTCTTAGGGTTTCTCTGGCTGTGACAAAACACCATGAGCAAAGCAACCTGGGAGGAAAGGGTTGATTTGGCTCACATTTCCACATCACTGCTCATCATCGAAGGAAGTCGGGACAGGAACCCAAACAGCTCAGAAACCTGGAGGCAGAAACTGATGCAGAGGCTGTAGAAGGGTGCTGCTTACTGGCTTGTTCATCATGCCTTGCCAGTACCACCAGCCTAGGGATGGCCCTGTCCACAATGGGCTGGGCCCTCCCTCATCAATCACTAATTATGAAAATGCCCTACAGCTGGACCTTATGGAGGCGTTTTCTCAATTGAGAAAATGAGATGACTCTAGCTTGTGTCAAGTTAACATAAAACTAGCCAGCACGTTCAGTCTCTTTAAAATATCCATATCCAAATCTGCTTAAAAACCCAGTCTCTGTGCTGGCTAGTGTTATATCAACTTGACACAAGCTGAAATCATCAGAGAAGGAGGGAGCCTTAATTGAGAATGGGCCTCCATCTGACTGGGCTGTAGGGAAGCCTATAGACTTTTCTTAGTGTTTTTTTTAATAATTGATGTGATAGGGCCAGCCCATCATGGGTGGTGCCATACCTGGGCTGGTGGTCCTGGGTTCTATAAGAAAGCAGGCTGAGCAAGCCCAGGGAATCAAGCCAGTAAGCAGCACCCCTCTATGGTCTCTGCGTCAGTTCCTGCCCTGCTTGAGTTCCTGCCTTCACTGCTTTTGATGATGAATTATATTATATGGAACTATGAATGAAATAAACTCCTTTCTCCCCAAATTGCTTTTGGTCATGGTGCTTCATCATAGCAATAGTAACCACTAACTAAGACAGTCTCTTAACTGTGGGTACCTGTAAAATCAAAAATAAGTTAGAGTCTTTCTGACTCCAAAAGGGAAGAATTGGGGCACAATCACAGTCCGTTCAGAGCAGAACCAAACTCCATCAGTGTAGCTGGTTTAAAGGGCATCTGGGAATTGCAGTTTTCTAGGCTCCAAAGAGTCCAGGCAGCTCCACTTCTCCAGCTCTGTCTTCTACAGCACACCCAGCTTGTCTCCTAGACTCAGGCTTGTTCCCCCCACAGCTGCTGCTGTCCTTAGTGGTCATCTCATGGTACTGGCATCTCAAAAATGCTGAGGTCTTCATTGCAATTGGACTATTCCTTTACCAGCAGCCTCTCCTGAGCTCTTTTCAGGGACACATTGTGCCAGCCTCATCTCTACATGACCCTTTTAAGCCTGGTGCAGCTGAGGCTATACCTTTGCCAGTGGCCTCTCTTAGGACCAAGTTTTGTCTCTTTTCCATGACATGCCTTCATGCCTTCAAAAACAGTACCTACCACTTGGGAAACTCGTACACCTTACCAAGTTCATGCCTTGAAAAACAGTACCACCTGGGAAACTCTTACCCCTTACCAAGTTCAGCTGTCAGCACAAAGCACAGACTTGGCCATCTCTGGACCACAGCTTCTCTGTGCTGACCCTGAGGAAACACTCTCCAGAAGATTTCACCTCAGTGATGCTGGTCTCTCTTTATCACAGCTGATTCTTCAGCCTCAGCTGACCAGTGTTGATTGTCCCAGCAAAGCGAAGCTTTCACTTGAGTAGTTCTGTCTCCTGTTAACGATGGCTGATTACTTGGCTCCACCTGACGGACCACCACAGCTCTTTAATACAAAGCCTCACAGCAGCTCTTCCAGTAGAGTCTCCGCTTGCCTCTGAAACTCCACAAGGCAGGCCTCCGTTGTCTGCACTGCTCTCAGCATTGTCTTCCCGTTTCCCACAACAGTTCATTAAGCTCTCGACTCTGGCTTTTCCAGCCCACAGTTCCAAACACTGGTACAATCCTCCCAAAACAACATGGTCAAGTCTAACACCTCAATACCCCACTCTTAGTACTATTTATTTTCTGACCTAGTTAGGTCTGTGTCACAGTGACAAAGACCACACCCAAAAGCAACTTGAGAAGCAAATGGTTTACTTTGTTTCACTTCAGACTTCCAAGTAGCATCCCTGCTGGAAGGCAGGGCTGGAACTCCAGACAGGAACCTGGAAGCAGGAACTGACTCAGAGACTGTGGAGGAGTGCTGCTTATTGGCTTGCTCATCGTGGCTTGCTCAGCCTGCTTTCTTAGACTTCCCAGGACCACCTGCCCATCCACAGTGGGCTGGGTCCTCCCACATCACTGATTATCAAGAAAATGCCGTACAGACTTGCCCACAAACCTGTGTAATGGAGTCATTTTCTCATCTGGGGCTCCTTCTTTCCAGATGACCCTAGCTTGTGTCAAGTTGACTAAAAACCAGACCAGGACAATAGGTTTCTTCCTCCTATGGTGTCCTCAGAGTTTGTCTGTTTTCAGCACAGGAACCATCTAAGCATTTTATTACTGACTCAGACCACCAGGAAGGGTACTGAAATCCAGCTTTGTCTAGTTCCTACCACCCTTAATCACACTGAGTCACAGTACACAGGCAAGTGCACAATACACACTGTACTGTGGAAGTTGATGCTATTGGGAAATGAACTACTTAGAAGATGCATTTTTATCTGAAATCTCTTTATTTTTTATAACATTATAACTAATAATGCCAACATGCGAACTATGAATTCCAGTGCCCTGTCCATGACCTTGACCTGTTCTGTGACTGTCTTACAGGTGTGTGCTGCTCCCACTCCTGGGGATGAAGCCGCCCTCACAGAGCCTCTACCTGCTGGTTGACTCCGTGGACGAAGGCTGCAATGTGATGGAAGGGGAGCAGACATCGCCCAGCCTCTCCGGGACTGTGGCAGAGCTCTTGGCTGGTCACCACGAGTTCTTTCCCCCATGGCTACTGCTCCTCTGCTCTGCCCGGAAACAGAGCAGAGCTGTCACCAAAATGTTCACTGGTGAGCAAGACTGTATGCTGCCCAGAGTGTAGTGTGCTCCAGAGATGGAGCCAGGCTGGGTTCTTTCTAGGGAGCAGAGTACAGGGTGGAGGCCTAACTGCCCCATAAGCCCTCTCAGCCTCTCGCACATACCTCAAGATCACATTAAAAATCAAGTGTGGTGTGTTGTAAAATCACTTACAGTGGCTTTTCCCAGACTTCTTTCCCTGGACTGAGGGGATCGATAGTTCAATGAGTAAAGTGCTTGCCATACAAACAGAACCCCAATGCACAAAACAACAGCAAAGCCTCGCCAGGCATGGTGACACATGCTTTTAACCTAGTGCTGGCGAGACAGACAGACAGACCCCTAGGCTTGCTGCCCCACCAACCTAGCCTGGACTCTGTCTAAAAAAAAATGGTGGATGGCTCTGAGGAGGCATGACACGCAGGGTTATCCTTGGCCTCCACATGTGTGTACACATACATGAATGTGTGCACACAAAAACACTCTTTCCCTATTCCCCACTAAGACCCGACTTAGTGATTCATTAGCAGGGCTACTTCTCAGTAGGTCTGTGCCCTTTACAGCTCATTAGTCATTCATCAGTGTCTCCCCAGTGGCTCTAGAGGTTCTGCCAGAGGTTCTCATGTGTGTTCCTTTCATCATGGCAGGGCTAAGTTGAGAGCGTCATATAATCTGAGGCCACAGCAGTGAAAGCTTTTGGTGAACGGGATCAGAGCCAGTGCTATGCGGCAGCTCCTATGTATGGCTGAAGGCATAGTCTCTTTTCTCCCCATCCAAGTCACCCAGTATCATCAACTCATTTTATGTTCTATAAACATTATGAACTTTTAAGTTTCATTTTTAAGTGTGTGTATGTATGTGGGTGTGTGCACTCAAGTCCCAAGGACCCTCTAACTGGAGTTACAGACAGTTAGTTGTGAGTGGCCCGATGAAGATGCTGGGAACCAAATACAGTTCCCCTGCAAAAGCAGCACATGCTGTAACCCCTGAGCATCTCTCCAGCCCCAAGCTACAGTCTTCCGTTTGCACAAATGAGTCACTACAACGTGTACACATTAGTGCTTACCACTGTCTGTGTGACCTTGGGCAGCTTGCCTCACCTCCTGTTTCCTGTCTGTAAAGTGGGGTGCTCTGAGGTTAGATGTGCCTGAGGCATGGTAAGGGCTTCGTACATACTGCTCTTATTCTCATTTGTTACACATTTCAGTTTTGACCTGAATTCTTATTATTGCTTCTAAGCCTTGGTCTCTGGCCTCATCTGCTGGGTATTTCCTGTAAACAAGTGTGCTGACTAGAGACATTCAGGAAGATGGAACCTCAGTTGAGAACAAGATTGGCCTGTGTGCAAGCCTGTGGGGCAGTTTCTTGATTGATGTTGGAGGGCCCAGCCCACTGGGTGGTGCCACCCTGGGCAGATGGTCCTGGGTTGTATAAAGAAAGCAGGCTGAGCAAGCCACGGGGAACAAGGCAGTATGCAGTGTTGTTCGGTGGTCTCTTGAGTCCGCTCCTGACTCCAGGTTCCTGCCCTGAGTTCCCTGGATGATGGAGGATGAGCTATAAGATGAAATAAACCCTTTCCTCCCCAAGCTTTTTTGGTCATGGTGTTTCATCACAGCAGTAGAAATCCAAAGTAAGACAACGGGCCTCCGCTTCATCCTTTAGTTCCTCTGTTCCTTGGCATCCAGATTGTCCTTGTATTTTCACTGCAGGCTGATCCTCATTAGTCTGAGACCTAAAGTCCTAAGTGCTCCAAAATCCAAACTCCAGGTCAAGAGTTTGTTTTGTGGGGTATTTAAAATATCACCTGCACTTCAAGCTGTGTGGATGATATGCATGGGACACAGATGGGTTCTGTTCTCCTTCTGTATATACAGATATTCCAAACTGAAAAAAAAAACAAAAAACAAAAAACTAAACTACTTCCCATCCTGGGCATTTAGATGAGCTACTCAAGCTCAGTTGCCAGAATGGCATGGCCAATGATGTTCTTTCTGTCCTCCAGTCCACTTGGACTTGCTGGGTTAGGGAGGTATCTGTCATGGACCTGGGTTACTTTGCTGTATTCCAGTCTTTTGTGCATGCAGTGATTTCTGTGCCTGCCTCAGCATGAGTGCATTCTCTTCAGCCAGCATTTGCAAAGTCAGCTGGCCTCATCTCCATTATGGGTTTGCACATGATGCTCTGATAAAATGTTCATTCCTTGAACTTCTTGCCATCCTCCCACTCAGGTCCCTACCCAAATAGGACATTCACACACAGACTGTGTTTTCCATCCTTGTTTATTTGTGGCTCCCTTCTACATAGTCACACACTCGCTCTGTCTGGTTTTATTTTCTTCATGGATCTAGTATCACTGAAAATTTCTCTGATTTTATGTATTTCCCAGCCATCCTCTCAACTAGGATGTAGTCTCCATGAAGACAGGGTACTGACTGTGAGCACAGACTTGGATCCTGTAAGGTTTCTGACTGTGAGCACCAGGGTACTGACGTTGTGTACTGATTTGTAAGCAGAGATTCAAACCCATTTGTTTCGCCAATGCCAAGGAGTGTCATACCCACTGAAATATTTTCCCAAAAATAGAAAAGTGGTTTAGCGGGCCTGGGGAGATGGTTCATTTGTCAGAGCACCTGCTCCAGGACCCACATAAACAAGCTGGGTGTGATGGCCTCCTTACTGGAGAGGCAGATTTAAGTGGACTTCAGAAGCTCACTGGCTGGGCAGCCTCACCTATGTGGTGAGTTCCAGGCCAGTGAGAGACTGATCAAAAGAGAAGGCTTTTGGCTCTCTGGGCACTTCTTCCCTACACGAGTGTGGTGCTCCATTCCATCCCCAGTACCCCAATAAGTAAGTCGTTTTCAGTGCTCAAGGTGGTCAGTGGAGAGTCTAGTCTCCCTTAGGTGCTGCAGCTCCGTCCAGAGCTCCGCACATGCTGGCCCAGCTTGCACTGCTGAGCTAAACTAAACCTCTGCTCTTCAGACCTTACTGTGTACCTTGAACCTGTGACCGTCTTCCTGCTTCTGCCTCCCTGCCTCACAAGCTGCCCACCCCAGGCCCTTAATTCTGTCTTACTAAACTGTTACTGGTGGTAAACATAAATTCTTCTTAAATCCACATCACTCTTTAGATTTGGGAGAGACTGTGTTTCAAATTTAAGCATTTCGCATCCATTTGTGTACCCTCAGTTCCGTGTTCTACCTCTTCCTCCCTCCGTCTCTGTCAGCATCACACAAAGCCCTGAGGCTGACCCCTTCAGTCAGTGCTCGTGGTGGGTGACTCAGGCCGCTCTCTGTGCTTGAATTTAACTCACTTATAAAGTAGCAAAACCTCCCTCACAGTGCACATGGCAGATGTGTGCGTGAAAACGTACAGTTGCATGTAGCCCATGGTTAGAGCCCTTGCCCAGCATGCAGTCCCCAGTACTGTGCACACACAAGGAGAGCTGACTCATTGCATTTTCTTTAACCCACTTTGAAGGCATCAGGCCTGGCACTGTGGAGGCTTAGCCCAATTCTGTATTTATTATCTCAAGTTTTCATCAGATGATCTTAGTTAATTAGCTTAAATTATAGATATTTATGCATAATGGGTTATATAATCTCTCACATAGATCAGTCTGTGTGCACATTACTTTGGAAACTTTAAAACACTATTACATACCAATTTAGTAATGTTTCATTTATTAGCCATAGGCCTAGTACTTGCTGTGTACCCCAGGCTGGCTTCAAATTCATAATCCTTCTGCCTCAGCTTCCCAGTACTGGGATCACAGGCATGCACCACCTCCCCAGGTGGTTCCTTTTTACCCTAAACTGTTTGAGTGACTTTGTAAATCAACTAGGAAGTTAAAATACAGGAAGAGGTTTGGAGGCCAGTCATCTCAAAGGGCTAGGATATGTGGGATGCCAGACATTCCTGGGGATATGCTCAGCCTTTCTTTAGGTTGAGGAGGGTGTATTTTATGTTATCAAATTAAAATAATTAAATCTCCAATTGTCAGTAAACAGCTGAATCAACGAAGATACCACTGGCTGAATTATGCTTACAGAAACTCTAACACTTAAAATACAGCTACTAAATGAAAGCAAAATAAAGTGTGGGTTTTTGAGTCTTTTGGGTTTTGATTTTTGAGACAGGTTTCCTTTATGGCTGTCCTGGAACTCACTCTGTAGACCAGGCTGGCCTTAAATTCACAGAGCTCCACCTGCCTCTGCCTCCCGAGTGCTGGGATTAAAGGCGTGCCCACCACTGCCTGGCTTTTAAGTGTGTTTTCCAAAGGGACACAGCATGAGACACACCCATGAGCTCATTAGTCAGCTGAGTATTGACCTTACAGAAGATAAGCTCAAGTGCATCCATCCACACTAGGCAATAACAAGGCCAGGGCTGTGCTGCTAAGCGCATTCTAAGCATTCTAACGTGGTCAGGAAAGGCAGAGGGGCCAGACTCAGGCCAAACTCAATTCTAAACCTTCCTCATAGGTCAGCCTCTTTCAAAATTTATCTTCTGAGGTGGAGGATTTAGGTATTGTATGTGCACATGTGCAGTGCGTGTTTATAGATGTCACTCTAAAAATATAGGGCTTTGCACATGTGTTATTTCATCTTGTTTGTCGTTGGCAGGTTGTGCTTTTCAAAAAAATTCCTTCAAGTATTTCAAGCTTGGGTTCAGATAGTTGAAGTGATCAGTCTTCTTCCCAGACCTGTTTGTTTTTCAGTGATAGCTTTTCAGTTCTGTTGGTCAAGGCAGATGTCGAGGTCACCTTCGACTTACCACACTCACCAAGCCCTGTGTGACCCACATAATCCCCAGCACAGTGTGGGTCCTTGTACCTGAGGCTGCTGCTGTTGGCAGACATGCCATGGTCCCTTCTGGAGAGTTTGTTCTCTGTAAGGGTTACTTGCAGTCTTTTCTGGAGTGTCT